GTCAAAGTTAATCTCATCATCAGCTGAAGGCTTACTCTCCCTCTCTTTAATTACAACGTCCTCGTTGTTCTTAGGAGTAACCGGAGGTGTTAGCTCTTTGCCGCTTCTTAACGTGATGGCGTTGGCATACTCCTTAGGATTCTGCTCACACTTGCCCGGTAGGCTATTCTGACCACTTGTACTCGCTTTCCCCTTCTCTAGCTGCTTGATCTTGTTGTTTAAGTTGGTGATCTGAGTGGAGAAGTCAGTGAGAGACGAGTCTAGACGAGTGTTCATCTCGGCAAAGTTTTGGTTTGTAGAGGCTTGCCCTTGTATCAGCTGCTGAAACATGGCCTGAATCGGATCAACCTGTTGTTGCATCGGCTGTTGCTGCTGAGGTGCAAAGCCCGGAGGGTAGTTAGGCGTATAACCCTTGTTACTTTGATGTTGCCCTTGGAAGTTGTTCTGCCCTTGACCTTGGAAACCACCACTCGGCTGAAAACTTTTGTTGTAAGGGATGAAAGGTTTTGCTTGCTGAGCAGGGTACACTTGGTCCTTAGGGTTGGCAACGTTGGTGCTTCGGTAGTAGAGATTGTTGTTCTGGTTGTAGCCTTGGTTGTAGCCTTGAGGTTTGTAATTGTTCTGTCCCGCCACCCAATTGGCTTCTTCCTGGCTCAACTCTAGCTCCTCTTGATTCTCATCCGCTTCACCAACAAAGTGAACATGCTTCTGGTTGGCTAACACCAGCTTATCTATCTTCTCATGCAAAGATTTCAGCTCCTTTTTGTGAGACTCTAGCTCGGATCCTCTCGGTGCACGGTCATAATCTTCAGCGTAGTTGCCATCACTCAATTCCAAGTTTTCTATCAGCTCCATGCCCTCTTCTACCTCCTGACCAATGAAGTTCCCTTTGCTAGCTGTGTCTAGCAACAACCTGATCTTTGGTGAAGCTCCGCGGTAGATGGTGCTGAGTAGGGTCTCCTCGCTGAAACCGTGATGAGGACATTGGATCGTGTAGTCTTTGAAACGTTCAATTGCCTCGTTGAATGTCTCGTTGTTTCGTTGAGTGAAGCCGCTGATTTCGCTTCTCAACCGTGCTGTCCTGGTGCTAGAGAAAAACTTTGAGAGAAAGGCCTTCTTACACTCGGCCCATGAGGTGATGGTGCCTTGTGGGAGGGTCTTCTCCCAATGCCTAGCCTTGTCTCCGAGTGAAAAGGGAAAGAGACGCAGCTTGAAAGCATCTTCGGATATGCCGTTTATCTTGATCATCCCACATACTTGCTCGAAATTGTCGAGGTGCTCCAAGGGATCTTCCATTGCTAAGCCGTGGAACTTGTTGTTTTGCACCATGGAGATGAAACCTGCTTAATTTCGAAGTTGTTGTTTTGTACAGGAGAAGGAGTGATCCCAAACCTATTGTGATGAGTATTAGGAGCATCTCCGGCTCCTATGATCCTTGGGGGTCTAGCCGCGTGTTGGGGGTTTCCATTGCCCCTTCCCACTGCCCCGTGAGCTGGAGGAGGTCCCTCTGGATGCTCGTGTTCAGCCATAGCTTCAAAGTCAACCAAACCGTGCTGAACAATCTTCTCAAAGGCTCTGGCTTGTTCTCGTACTCTTCTTTGCCGTGAATGACCAAGCTGATGAATGTTGTCCAAGGGTTGTAGTAGATTGTTGTCTCCCCGTGAACATAGATTCATGTACCTGAGAAACACACGTTTGAGAGTAGAATGATTAGTAACTAAAACAAGGTAAAGGCTTAGTCTTTACTAAGTCCCAAATCTCTATGTTTTCTAAACAATCTTAGGACGGCAACGGCGCCATTTGATAACTAGAATCTTTGCAAGGGTGAGTATGCAATGAGGCTATCAAACTCAAATGCAAGATAGGTTGTAGCACAGTATGCAAGAGAGAGTCAATCCACACCTAGGATGATAGAAAATGCAAAGAGAATGCAAAGGCTTTGCAAATCTAAGCGAAACAAGATCGGTTTTGAGAAAATCCCTAAAAACTAGATGCAGCAACTAAATGGAATGCAAAACTATTTTAATATTACCAGGAATGATGAAACTACCATGAGGAATAAACAGAATAATTAAAGGACAAAGCTACGAATTACTAAAATTCGACTAGTGGATCGACCATGGGATCGATCACTAGATCAAGCAATAACGATCGATCTCGTCTAAAAATGCAAGAACAGTAAAACTAACGACCATGATGCTATCAAAGATCAAGCGAATGACGAGAGAATATGTAAAGATGCTAAGAAAGAGGGTCTAGGGTTGAGATTCATGGTCAGGGGTTTCAAAGGTCCGAACTTGGGTTGAAAACTTTAAATCGACTCACTTTGTGAGAATCTCTAAGCCTTGAAAACGAAATAAGATCTATCTGTGGCTTTCGGTATAGATCACTCCTTCATCCTCTCCTCCAAACCCATGGCTTTTGGTGGAAAGAGAGGTTGAAAGGCATGGAAAACAGATTTCAAACGCATGGCTTAACTAGTCCCCCAAACTTCCATGGCTTTTGGGAAGGGGTAACTAGTCTCTAGGGTGTGATCTTCAGAGGTCCCTGAATCCTGTCAAGGTAAGGAACCTCTCGGATCATAAAGCTCTTGGCGTGAGAGTCTTTAAGCTTTAGGAACTCGACACCCTAGAAGACATAGCCATTAAACACTAGAAAACCCCAAGATCGAAAACCCTTTTGACCCCTTAAATCCTCTCAACCCCCGAGCCCAAATGAACTACTCACTACACATAAGATAAATCAAGCAAATCATGAAGAAAGAAACGATGAACATGAAAAGAAACTAGATTAAACTCAAACGATTCGATTACAAAAGCAAGAAAAACTTCAAGTTCTACAATGGTGGATAATCTCCAAAACCAGAGAGAAAAGCATAAAAAGATAAGACTAAAAAGTTGTGTGGGAAAAGGACGTCGCCGCCTTCCCAAAATGGCGAAAACAACTTGATGGTCCCCACCTCGCTAGCGGCCAAAAACGGTTGAAAGAACAGAGATCGACTCCGGGATCGAGCGGCTCTCTCGATCATCTTCTGACATCGTGTCTTCAACTCGATCTGGGTCTCGATCATCTTCGGCGGATCGAGTGTTGCATCCGATCTTGGTATCGATCTTCGGTTGGATCGAGTGGTGGACTCGATCCGGCTCTCGCTCTGCATGGCGTCATTTACGTCCGTACCGAGTGGTGGATCGATTGCTTCACTCGATGTTCGTCTCGATCATTCTCCTTAGATCGCCTGGTCTTCTCGATCTTCTGGTTGATCTCATCCTAGATCGACCTGCCATGCTCGATCTGTTCCCCGATCTCTGGTCCTTAGCAAACATCCGCTCTTCCACGAACCGCCACAACAGCTTCAGCACGTCCACGAACCTCCACGACTCCAAAGTAGCCAGAAACAACTTGAATGTGATGCAAAATGCAAGGAACATGCGTATGCTAGTGCGAGAATGCTATAGGCCTCTAAGTGATGCAATCTAGTCTAAAGTGTGATGTAAATGTATGAAAAGCTAACTAATGTGTATGCAAAATATATGCAATATGCGGTAACATCAGTAAGTTATAAAGCGTTTACAGAAACGCTTTAGATCGATCAGAAAACATTTTAATAATCATTTTATGAAATCGTTTTTGAAGTATTTTCGCAATATTCAATCGAAGTCAAACGATTAGCAGAAAACAGATTTAAAGAATAATGATTGTGGGACCTCAAAAATCCATATTAAAAATCACGAATATAAGACGATTGAAATCTATATAATAAATAATAATATAGTATAAAACAATTGAATAAAAACGATCAAAAAAAGAGAGAAATACATGGAGACGAGATTTTATATCTTTCCTTAATTCTTTAAATCTCTTGCTCTATAGCAGTTTGAAGAGATTCAGAATCTTAGAATACAACAGTGCTTGAGACTAACATCACAGCACTCAACTATAGAATCTGGAAACTAAAGATCTACGCTGTACTCTCAAGACTTACCCTAAAACTATAGAAACGAGTGGGATTTGTTATAAATTTTTGTTTGAAAGCTTATTGTTTTTCTGAATGAAGAATGATGAATGAAATAAGTTCTTATTTATAATGGAAATGAGGTTTGTGATAAAAGGTACTTATCTTATTACTTACAATAAGTAAATAAAAAATATTATAAATATCTTTGTTTTTTGTTTCACAAGATAAAAAAAACAGAAATAACCTAAAAAAATTTATTCGTTATTTAATAAAGATAAGAGAAATAAAATATTTCATAAAATAATTCAACTTAATCAATAAATATTCATTGATATTATAAAAAATTATAAATAAAATATTAATAATTTTATTAAATAAGTTAATAAAGATTTATTATAAAAAAATTATTTTGTGGTTTGTATAATAATTTTTATACTTCCAATATATAACAAATATAACAAATGTATATTTTGATTTTTTTTTATTTTTATTATATATCTAGTTTGAATAATAATTTTTTATTTAAATTAACTTTAATTTTAACAAGTAATTATACTACTTTTTTTGTCAACACAAGTAATTATAGTACTTGTTAAATCGTTTTAAAAGAAAAAATTGTCTGTTAAGTCTCAGCTTTGAAAATTGTTTATAATATAAAATATATTCCTACAACATGAATATATAATAGACATATATAATATAGTGTATATATATCTATATAACATATTGTAAACGTGTATAATATAACATTGCAGACTGCATGCAAACTTTAGACATTTAAACGTTTACAATAACGATAGGCCAATAAGCTACGAGGTAAAAGTCCGTATAAGAGTGAAAGTAAGATAAAATTTCGCAAAAGAATAGAGGAAATAATTTTAGCAGGAGAAGTCAGACAAGTGTCATGAACGTGTCAATCGATAAACGAGACGGCGAATAATCGATACCAGATTCGACGTACCACATTAATAAATATCAAATCTTTATTTTTGCTCTGGCCGTTACACTCTTCTTCACTACTCCAATAACTTTTTTTTCCTTTTAAATTAAATATATATTACTCGCATGCATGCATATATATACACATCGCCATTGTAAACTCCGCCTCATCTTCATTTTAAAAGTATCTCCTTAAGCTCCAGTTTCCACTGACACTATACTCCTCGTCTCCTACACTATTTTTCCTTTCTTCGTCTCTTATATTATTACTTCCAGGTACCAAAATCTTTTTTTATATTACTTTATAAAAAATCTGCGATCTAATGCAAATTTGGCTGACGATGTCGTAACCATTATGTTTAATAGTTATGCTTCACCTTGATTTTTTTTTTTTTTAACCTGATTAATTTAGTTATAAACCCTCACATTCTTTAATAAAATTAACACTTTTTAAAAAGCAATATGTTCACGCTTAATTATTGTAATTTTGAACGCTTTAATTTCATAATTCTTTGTTGGAATTTCGATTGATATATGAATGCATGTTCACATTCCAAGATTTGTTAGGTCTCAAAACGATGTCGGTTTTCGAATCAGAGACTTCGAACTTCCACGTTTTCAACCCCGAACTCCAAACGCAACCGCAAACGTATATGCAAGAAACCGCGGGAGAGGAGAACGCACCGGTAGGCAGACAAAACTCCATCTTGTCGCTGACTCTTGATGAGATTCAGATGAAAAGCGGCAAAAGCTTCGGAGCAATGAACATGGACGAGTTCCTCGCGAACTTATGGACGACCGTCGAGGAAAACGACAACCCTGGAGGTGGGGCCCAACACGACGGAGAGAAGCCGACGGTATTGCCACGTCAAGGGTCGTTGTCAGTCCCCGTTCCTTTGTGCAAGAAAACGGTGGACGAGGTTTGGTTCGAGATACAAAACGGTGTACAACAACAACCGCCGTCATCAACTTCCGGTCAACACTCCGAAGAAGATATCCGCCGGCAGCAAACCCTCGGTGAAATTACGTTAGAGGATTTTCTTGTTAAAGCCGGAGTTGTACAAGAACCAATGAAGACGACGATGACGATGGCTAGTTCTGATTTCGGCTATAACCCGGAGTTTGGGGTTGGTTTACATTGTCAAAACCAACACAATTTTAGTGATAACCGGTCGGTTTATAGTGAAAACCGGCCGTTTTATTCGGTTTTGGGGGAATCCTCAAGCTGTATGACCGGAAATGGGAGGAGTAATCAGTATTCAACCGGTTTAGATGCTTTTCGGATCAAGAAACGGATAATTGACGGTCCACCAGAAATTTTGATGGAGCGGAGACAGCGGCGGATGATTAAAAATCGAGAATCTGCAGCTCGGTCTCGAGCCCGGAGACAGGTAAGTCGGAGTTTTCAAATTAAAATCTTTGTAAATTATGCACATAAGGTTTTTTTATCAATCCGGTTTGTAACTTTATTTACCAGTGAAGTTCTTAAGAGGCTGCATTTATATTTTTACACTTTAGGCGTATACTGTGGAATTGGAGTTAGAGTTGAACCAACTCACGGAAGAAAACATGAAGCTGAAGACAATTGTGGTAATTTCTTGATTAAACATTATTGCAAGTAATTACAACTACTTGTCTTATTAGCTAAACTATTATTATATTAACCATTTTGACTTTATACCTTTTTTTATTGGTAGGAGGAAAACGAGAAGAAAAGAAGGCGAGAGGTAACTAACAAATTTTCATATATTATTATAAGAAAGAATTTGCCAAAAAAAAAAAAGACAAATTTCATATGTACTAACTATAGTTAGGCATCAGTTTATAAGAAAGCGTTATAAAGTAAACATCGTTACGTAACGGATTAATAAATGTAATAAATTAGTTTTGAAAAACTTTAACGATAATTAACTAATTATAATGGCATGCAGGTGATGAACAGAAGTACACAGATTACTAAAGAGAAGAACGGCGACAAATTGAGGAGAATTCGTAGGATGTCTAGTGCCGGGTGGTAGATGAGAGTTTATGTAATTACATATAATATAGATCACTCCCATCTATACACATATTTATATATATCTTATTTTAAGACAAACGCGGATTTTGTATATAGGATCATCTATTTTGTCGTCAAATACATTACTAATTAAATCAAATGGTTGGAAAATGTAAATCACGGATACATAACAGCCTGATTCACTTTCACTTTCCATGTGCTCTTCTATAACCAAGTTTTTTTTTATTTTGTTACATACCATTTTGAGATGGAATTGCATTGTAGCCTGATAATTTCATCATTTTAAAGGTTGGAACGTGAGTGGAGTTGAAATTTTTTGAGAAAAATTAGAAAATCTTGACAATATAGTTTAACGAAATATGCTGATTTGTTTTAATTTTATTGGTTAAAAATATCAATCTAATCTAATTAAATGTGACATAGAAATGATGATGATGTAATTGTAACATTGTGACATGACATTTGCTAATGTGGATTATGACATGGCAAAAAAAAAAATTATGTGTTTAATTTATTTTTTACAAATTATTATTTTATGAAAGCTGAAAAATATAAAATATTTAATTATTAATATAAATAGTAAACCATCATTTTTTATCACATACAAAAAAGATATATTATATTTTTTTATTATATGTACAGATTTGTACACTTTAAATTATATAAAAACTATATCTTCACACATGCACCAACTATATAATCTAAAGTAACATTAATCTAACAATTAATGTTTAACTAAAAAACCTATTTTTGTTGTCCATACAAAACAGAAGCTATACAAATATACAAAGAGAAGTTAGAGTATACTACGTTTTGTTAATCGAAGTATGATTACCTATTTTTAACAGTCTTCTTGAGATCGTTTTTCCACAATATAATCCAAAGCAACATTAATTGTATCATCAAATTGTACAAAGATTATGAGAATTATTTTCATCACATGCACCGACTATATAATCTAAAGTAACATTAATCTAACAATGTTTAACTAAAGAGCCTATTTTTGTTGTCCACATGAAACATAAGCTGAACAAATATACAAAGAGAAGTTGGAATATATTTAAGTTCAAATAATTTTCTGTGTTTAATTTATTTTAGTTCAAATATTTGTTTTATACAAAGAAGTCTTCGAGAATTTAAAGGCTAAATAACTGGATAAATTGAGGAACATTAATTGAAGACGAAAAAAATAATAAAATTTGCAGCTATGCACGCCTGATCCGCAAATCCGCAGCAGGTAACCCGCTCAACCAGCTATCTACGGGTCTGACCCATTTGACCCTTTAACATAATAAAATGGTTTTTTTGTTATCATGAAATGTTTAGTTAAAATTATACCATATTTTGCTATTAGGCCTTATAATTTAATCACCCTACCTAATTTTTTATACATTACAAAAATTAATAGATTTATAATAATTTATATATTTATGTAATTAAATTTTTAAAACTGTTTATGCCTGCGCATGCATGCGGACCCAACTCCTAGTAAAACTTTAAATAAGCAAATGTTATATATATATTTGTTGGTCTCACTGTTATTACGTCCAATCCGGGATCCAGTTTTTTTTTGTCATCTGAAAATTTTATTATAACAGAAAGGATACAAACGATATTTTCTAAAATTCTAAGGAGGAATCCGAAATTAAAACTCTATAAATCCGACACTAATTCAGAAAAGGAATCAGCAGTTAAACCGAAGAACTAATACAACCTTAATCTTGCAAGAGAAATAAAACTTCTGGGATCCCAAGCTCCATAGTATCGAAGATGCACTAGGTTAACTATCGAAACTAAACTTTATCCTATGTCATAAATAGTAAGAGAACTAAGGCTTCATGAACCGGCAAGTAAAAGCGGCATCTCGAAATCTCCTAGAAACGGCAAAGTTAGAGGACAGAAATGTCCAAGGACAGGTAGAGACCTAGACAAAAACCTGAAAGAATGACCAGAGCTCCTCGAACAATGGACCAAGGACCAAGAACGAAGCCTACATCTTCCCATAGTAAACAGACCACGGCAACAAGAACAAAGAAGCGCACAAAGTGAACAAATAGCGAGCTACCAACCGCCAATAAAAAAAAATTTAATCTTCAAAATCAAAACCATAAAACAAACCCAGAAACGGACCAAACCTCTGGTTAGATCGGAAAAGAGCCACTAATCAGAATCAGACAGATCTGACCCGAAAAGAGAAAGAAGCGTGCCATGAAGAGATAGCGATTGAAAACAAAAGCCCATAACAGCCGCAGATAAAGCACCAGCCGAGACTAACGACAACCTAAAATGAAGAAATCTAAAGAAGAACTGCAAAAAAAGCGAAAAAAGAAGATCCACCTGTAAATCTAACAGATTCCGCGCCCCCACCTCACAACAACCTAGATCTGAACACAGTTGCCGCTAAAAAGAAGCCCTACAAGAAACACTCATCCCCAATCAGATCAAAATTATCCAAAACCACTAGAAACAAAAACCCAGAAAAAGTAGGAAAGCAAGAGAAGGAGAAAGAGGCCAGCGTCGGCTTTGAAGAAGCAGCCAGACGCCAGCCACCGGAGAAATACAGGAGACGGCTACTTTTGAGAGAAGAGAGAAAAGAAAGGGTTAGAGCGAATTGATAAAATTATTCTAGATGTCAAATGTCACTACTGAATTGTAGTAGATTCAGTCCAATGTGATCTTTTCTTCTAAATCTCTAAACGACAGTTACTGAGTTTTTTTAAATCAAAGTATGCTGTATCAATCCATCTGTTCCCGTCATACACTGCACCGATGGAACAGTTCAGGAAAAAAATGTATAAAAAGAAAGCTAAGGTCAAAAGATAAGAGGAGGCTGATTTATCCAAGATTGATCGAAAAACTAGAGACCAGAAACAAGACAGATCTAGAGAGTGAATTCACTAAAAGAAAGAGGAGGAGTAGCCGTCGATCTCAACCTCACCAAAGCGGACAGTTGACGAGCTTCCCTATCAAAGGTGTGTTGTGTTAGCGCATCTACTCTAACCATGCACCATACTGATGAGACAGGATAAGAGAGAAGAAGTATAAAGAGAGAGTGAAGGTCGAAGGAGAAGGGAACCAGAATAAATCGGAATAAAGGGAATCCAAAATCCATCAGAGAGAGAATGCCTAAACTACAGAGATGAACCGGGGGAATGGAGGAAACCTCCTTGCTCCCAAATCCTCTCCAGAGATCTCAACGATCCCTGCCATACCGCGAAACTAAAGAAGAAATGCATATCGTCCCCCGGAAGGATCACAAACTGAGATAAGGTTTCTCTTCCCCTCTTAAACAACCATATAGAGAGATCTCCATCCCCGCTTTCACAATGGTTCATCAGTTATTCGCCCGTCTGATTTTGTGATTTCTTGTTTGCTCGACTCTCTGTTTGCTTGTTTAATTACTTGATTATTTGGGTCCCTATGGCTCTTTACTTTACCTTCCCTGTTTTTTTATCGCTTCTATGTTCATGTCGCTCTATCCTTACTTTCATTACTTTACCTTCCAGGGGAATCATGTTCGTCGTCCGAATTTCCATCAAACACTTAGTTCAAATTTCAGATAACACGTTTCCCTGTGGGCTTGCTCACCTTCCGAGGCACCATTCTTCTGGGAATTCTGGACTTCGGTTCCACAGACCTCCGGGTCTTTTTGCCAGCTCTCCCCGGGGACTGCACAACTCTTTGGTGTACTCCCATCGGGAATTGGGAATCGGGTCCAACAGACCTCCGGATCTTCATCGTCAGGTCCCTCTAGGGATTGTGCAAACCACTAGTGTGTTCTACTGGCATCCATGGACACCATCAAAGAATTAAGGTCACTCCTTTCAGGGGGCTTTCTCTTCGCAAAATCTTCCCGACTTCTCCCTCCAAGGTATGTCCAAGCACGATTCTAAAACCATGAATCTTTCCGCGTTAGCGCAATGTAAAGGCTGTTCCGACAGTAAGGGAGTCAGGATAATGCCTATGAGAAACACCCTGTTTCACCACTAGCTGCAAAATAGCAGGCTTCCCCTCGTGTTAGCAACCTATGTACGGAGACCATCTATAAACTTCCTCAAGACACTCTTCATGGTTCTTGGGTAGGTGTCTCAAACCGCGTCATTGTTTTATCTCGATTCCCATGGTCACATAAGGCTATATCTTCTCCATAATCCCAATGAGGAAGGAAGATGGCTCCTTGTCTAGTGCCTCATGAAACAAGGAGTAAACTTCTTTCCAGGAGATGCTTATTCGTGGGCAACCAATAGTTCTTCGGGCAAACTAACATCCTCCTATTTTAGATAAGCGTGTACTCTTTCGGGATGTGCATCCGAGCCGGGGTAAGACCCAATCTAACCATTCTTCCGAAAATGTAACTATTTCTCTGGAAACCTATTTGTTTCTCCGGAAACCTTGTTTTACTCTGACTAGACCTGTATTCTTTCAGGATGAGTCGCAAGGACAGGGTGAGTCATTTTATTTGATTGTTCAGAAACCCTGTTCCGCTCCGGCCAGACCCGTACTCTTCCGGGATGCATGGCAAGGTCAGGGGCGGATCAGCTCAACTGTTTCTCTGAAAACTTCTTTTACCTCGACTAGACTCGTACTCTTGAGGGATACACATCATGGTCAAGAGTGAACCGTTCTAACGAGGTATCGAACTTGCCAAAACATTCAGGTATCGATGAACTTTGAATGTCTTGCAAGAACACCAAAATGATCGACTTTCCGACTAATTTCTAATCAGTCGAGAAGTCATAGGCAATTGGTGGGCCCACTTTTACCATGACCAAGCACGAGACACCACATAAGCAATTGGCCCTATTGAAGAGTTAACTTTCTCGCCTAGGCCTGCGCCAACGGCTCCCTAGCAGACTGTTCTCTGGCAGTTAGCGAGCTATTCAATCAAAGGTGTGCTGTACTAGCCCACCTATTCCAACCATGCACCACACTGATGAGACGGGACATGAGAGAGAAAGTATAAAGGGAGAGTGGAGGCCAAGGGAGAGGGGGATCCGGGATAAATCAGAATAGAAGAGATCCAGAATCTATCGAAGAAAGAGAATGCCTAAAGTAAGGAGATGAACCGAGGGAATGGAGGAAACCACCTTGCTCCCAGATCCTCCCCAGAGATCTC